ATTCGCGCCGCGTTAACCAATCAGGAGCCTAGCTGCTGTCACGTGGTGAAGTATCTGGATGCTTCAATAAATTATTTTGTACTAAATGCCTGATGTGGTTCTAATGCACAACAAAGCAAATATTTTATCACATAAAACTTGATTTCAATATATGAGACATATTCATTTTGTATTGAATGCTATTTATTCCATTTCATATCTAGATTATATTAAATATTATTCTAATGTAAAGGCAACCAACATACTATAGCTCATAAATCCGTGTCTGGAGAGTGTTGTGTGAGAGAGAAAAAAAATCTATCGTGTGGTGATAGTGAGAGCGTGTGGTGAGAGTGAGAGCGTGTGGTGAGAGTGAGAGCGTGTGGTGAGAGTGAGAGCGTGTGGTGATAGTGAGAGCGTGTGGTGAGAGTGAGAGCGTGTGGTGAGAGTGAGAGCGTGTGGTGAGAGTGAGAGCGTGTGGTGATAGTGAGAGCGTGTGGTGATAGTGAGAGCGTGTGGTGATAGTGAGAGCGTGTGGTGATAGTGAGAGCGTGTGGTGAGAGTGAGAGCGTGTGGTGATAGTGAGAGCGTGTGGTGATAGTGAGAGCGTGTGGTGATAGTGAGAGCGTGTGGTGAGAGTGAGAGCGTGTGGTGAGAGTGAGAGCGTGTGGTGATAGTGAGAGCGTGTGGTGAGAGTGAGAGCGTGTGGTGAGAGTGAGAGCGTGTGGTGAGAGTGAGAGCGTGTGGTGAGAGTGAGAGCGTGTGGTGAGAGTGAGAGCGTGTGGTGATAGTGAGAGCGTGTGGTGATAGTGAGAGCGTGTGGTGATAGTGAGAGCGTGTGGTGATAGTGAGAGCGTGTGGTGATAGTGAGAGCGTGTGGTGAGAGTGAGAGCGTGTGGTGATAGTGAGAGCGTGTGGTGAGAGTGAGAGCGTGTGGTGATAGTGAGAGCGTGTGGTGAGAGTGAGAGCGTGTGGTGAGAGTGAGAGCGTGTGGTGAGAGTGAGAGCGTGTGGTGATAGTGAGAGCGTGTGGTGATAGTGAGAGCGTGTGGTGAGAGTGAGAGCGTGTGGTGAGAGTGAGAGCGTGTGGTGATAGTGAGAGCGTGTGGTGAGAGTGAGAGCGTGTGGTGAGAGTGAGAGCGTGTGGTGAGAGTGAGAGCGTGTGGTGAGAGTGAGAGCGTGTGGTGATAGTGAGAGCGTGTGGTGATAGTGAGAGCGTGTGGTGAGAGTGAGAGCGTGTGGTGAGAGTGAGAGCGTGTGGTGAGAGTGAGAGCGTGTGGTGATAGTGAGAGCGTGTGGTGATAGTGAGAGCGTGTGGTGAGAGTGAGAGCGTGTGGTGAGAGTGAGAGCGTGTGGTGAGAGTGAGAGCGTGTGGTGAGAGTGAGAGCGTGTGGTGATAGTGAGAGCGTGTGGTGATAGTGAGAGCGTGTGGTGAGAGTGAGAGCGTGTGGTGAGAGTGAGAGCGTGTGGTGAGAGTGAGAGCGTGTGGTGAGAGTGAGAGCGTGTGGTGAGAGTGAGAGCGTGTGGTGAGAGTGAGAGCGTGTGGTGAGAGTGAGAGCGTGTGGGATGGAGGGAGAGGGAGGGAAAGATGAATATAGAAGGAGGGATGGATATAGAAGGAAGGATGGATATAGAAGGAAGGAAGGAGGGAGGGATGGATATGGAGGGAGGGAGGGAGGGAGGGATGGATATAGAAGGAAGGAGGGAGGGAGATATGGATAGGGAGGGATGGATATGGATAGGCAGAGGGATGGATATGGAGGGAGGGATGGATATGGATGGAGGGATAAATGGAGGGAGGGATAAATATAGAAGGAAGGAAGGAAGGAGGGAGGGATATAGAAGGAGGGATGGATGATAGATGGATGGAGGTAGGTATGGATGAATTCATTTATTAATAAATAAATAATGTTATTCTGAGTGTTTCTGTGTTTTCTTGAGTGCAGACATTTGTTAAAGTATGCTGAAATAAGTAGAACAAACCTTTAGAAAATGAAATATTACATGTAGTACCCTAATATTGTTAATATTACAATATTACTTCTGTAGAGGAGGCTGATCGCACACTACAACCATCATACTGCCCACACTTAATGCATATGTGTTTGTAAAATTGACAACAGTAACTGGCTTAAACAGAATTGAAAAAAATAAAAGTGTTAACAGGAAACGGAACACGTAGAATAACACAACTTTAGGGAGAAGAAAATAAATTAAAGATAAAAATAAATAAACAATAAATAAAATGACGAAGGATAAATAAAAGTCAGTTAAGGGGCTTCAGTTACGATCATGGTTACCATACGGATCGTGTAGTGTCAAACAACAACTGCCGTAAATGGTTTCGACATCAGACAGGAAGGAGACGCGTTCTCGCACATGCGCAGTACAGATCGTGTTTCCGGTACGGATCGAGTAGTGACACTCCCATCAATCAAAACGTAGCTCAAAGGACATTGGATAGCATTATCCAGGCTTTTATCCAGTCGAAAGCCCAGCTGCGCGATGGACAGCGCGCTCAGCCTGTCAGGGACTCTCTTACTGTTTTGGTCTGTAACAGAGCCTGTGATTGAACAAGAGAGAAATAGGATGTATCATTCGATCCGGAAGAGTCTAAACTGCGGGGGTGAGATGGCTTTTGAGTGTTGGAATATGGATTAGAATCGATATTTCTTTGAAAATGAACATGATGCGAACTCTATCTCGAAAACGCTCATGAAAACAAAGGAGGATATTTCATTTTTTTCCCCTATTTTTCGTTGTTTTGGATTAAAAAGTGGGATGCATTTTGAAGAGTGGACCCTTACATTGAAATGTATGCTGTTGTTTCTTGGATTCTTCCGAACTGATCTGAACCATACGAGATGAAAGATGAGTATAGCGGTTCATTTTGCTCATTTTCAAATGAGCAGTCCTTTTGCATTTTATTTAACCCTTTCCTCTTTGGTGTATTGATTGCAAAAACAAGTCTAGAACATGGTTCTTGAGTGTTTTAGCTTTCAAATGATGCATAGTTTATGATAGTCAGATGAATATTTGTTATAAAACAAAGCTTAAAAAAGGTAATAAAAGTATAGCCACGCCCTCGACGGCCCGCTCGCGGGCCGATGCGGGTTAAGAAGTTAACATTCATCATAACACACCTCTCATACTTGGCATGAAATCCGAATTGTTTTGAAACCATGTTTGATATATAATTATTTTTTTTTTGTATTTTGTGACAAAGAGGATTACCTTAAAACAAGTTGATGAATATTTTAGAGCATTAAGTTCATTGTTCGTTTTTAATGTTGTTTTTCTGCATGGTAAAGGCATGTAGTGTGCCAGCCAGGAGCATGTGCCACAAAGCTTTATGAACGTGCTTTGTGCCACAAAGCTCTTAAAAAAAAAAAAAAACCCAGACGCAGCCTCTCAGTCAGCCAGGAGATAACATTCTTTCCATTGCTCCCCCTCCGACCCCAGGCATAGTGTAAGCCTCAAGGCCTCGGAAAACCTCAGTGTTTTCAGAGGGCGAAATAAAACCCAGAAGTCCTACTGAGAGTTAAGCATCTGAGAGATCTATCAAGTTAGGTTTAATTAAAAAGCTTAAAACAACACACTATGCTGAGCACATACTTCTGAGAGTTCTAAATATCATAGAGAAATTTGAGTGCATTTTAATAATCTTAACATTTCACATGTCCGGATTTGTTTCTTTGTTTACAAGTGATGGTACATCTGGGTTAGGTGATCATTAAAAATGAAGAACATGGCTAGTCTTGCTCACAGTGGAAATCTGCTTCGGTTGGTATTCCACCTGGACATCTGGATTGAGGGCTCTTGAAAGACAGGCTGGAAAATCAGGAATGCAAACAATGTTTACAGGAGGAGAACAAACCTGGGTGATTTTGGGCCGTATGAACATATCCTGGTGAGACGTGTATCAGCATTATGAAATATATATTCGATAAATATCGAATACACAACACAACTTTTGCCCTGATTTGCAGTTTGGTCAATGAAAAAAACAAAAAAAAAACTTGAAAACACTACACGACTAATGAAACAGATTTTAAAACACTACTTGCTGACTTTGTTAATGGTTACAGAGAAAAAACTGGCCATCTTGCACTAAACGACTGATGATCACACACTACCAGACGTTCAAGTTGTTCTGAACACAACACCGCACTCAAACAGAAACATGCGCCTCATTGCTAGGACATGACAAATTAACACAATGTTTTTCTTTTTAAATCAGCTTAAAATATATCAGACAGCCGAAGAAATAAATTCATACAGGTTTGGAGCAGCTTGATGGCGAGTAAATGATGACAGAATTTTAATTTTAAGGTAAACTATCCCTTTAAGTCAGAGTCCTGATGGGCACAGCACAGACTCTGGATTTGTAGCAGTCAGGGGATATCTTGATACCTGTCATGCATTTCCTAGCAATGAGGTACATTTTTCTTGAGTTTTTTGCATCCGGACCAACTTGAAAGTCTGGTAGTGTGTGATTCTCAGTCGTTTTTCTCTGTTACCATTTGAAAGTCACCAAGTGAATGATGCCTATATAGGGTTTTAAAATCAGATTGTAAAAGTCATGTAGTGTATTCCAATCTTAATATGCATGACTGACTGTGCACTCTGCTCCATAAAACAGAATCATACAGGAACCAGAGGCGATCAAGCTAAAAAAGGATTAAAAAAAAAAAAAAGTACTACTGCAGCTTTCAAATCTCATTCGCCAGTCTCTCGCGAATGCAGAAGTTAGTGGTTACAGTTTGTAAAGTAGCCTATTAAATATGGATATTTTTCTTACACAAACGCATCGCTTCAGAAGGCCTTTTATTAACCCCACGGAGCCGTGTGAAGCACTTTTATGATGGATAGATGCACTTTTATTGACTTCAAAACAGAAACAACCATTCACTGCCATTATAAAGCTGGGAAGAGCCAGGACATTTTTTAATATAACTCCGATTGTATTCGTCCGAAAGAAGAATGTCATATACACCTAGGATGACTTGAGGGGGAGTAAATCATGGGATCATTCTCATTTTTGGGTGAACTATCCCTTTAAGTGCCAAATGACTTCCAGCAGGCTCTCTGTTTATGACATTCTGTTCTGTTAACATTTGTCTCTTTTGTCACTTTCCAAAAAGCCAGGACCGGAGCAGACTGCTGTAGGACAGCAATTACTACATTTCATTGTGTTGGTGTAGTACTGATGCCACTGAGAAATTGACTTTAAGGCATCCCAGTTCTTTTTCAGAGTTCCCTAAAATGATCTGCAATCTGAAATGAGTCAGTCTGTCAGAGAGTGAAAAATTTGGGATGTAGGTACCAGTCGATGGCCAAACGTAGTCACCCTAAAACAGAGTGACATGCTAACTTTAAAAACAGATAGAACAATGCATAAAAGTTTGCTGCATGTGAAACTAGATGTTCAGTAAATCAGCCAACACTCACAGCTTTGAGCGGGCAGCTGCAGGGACGTATAGGAACGCCAGGAGGACAGAGTCCTGTGATTGCCATAAAGAACTCAACCAACCAGTCACAGGCATCAGGGTAATAACAACTTCCTAGGTCATCAACACAAGGTATTTTTACCCATGCACCATCAACTTCTCTTTCCAGTGTCAAGTTCACCTGAAACAAATAAAATGACATCATCCAAATGATCGTATGAAGATACAAGGCATGGTGTTCAGCTGCTGAAATGTGGTCATACAGGTTTACCGTCTCTTAGGATAGTCGTAAAGTACAAAAGTCTCAGACATAAAAACATTTGTGACACCAAGAGTTTGTTAAAGCTAGTTAATAAAGGGAATAATGGGGTACTTTCTCAATTCAGAGGTTTATGGTACCATTATATTTAAATAAAAAACATAAATATTGACGAAAATTAGGCTATATAAAATAAAAAATCTATTTTATAAATGGAAAAAAATAGCATCAATACTAAAACAACAGTAATTGGTATGATCACAATAGGCAATAAGAAGCATATCAGTCGTATTACGACAATATTACAACTTACAGGCAAAGGAGAGAGCAGATCTATTGATGTGGTGGCCGATGCAGGTGCTAATACATATCCCGGTGAAGGAATTGGGTTTGGATACACATGTAGCGTCTTCACAAATATGGGGGCATCTGGCTTTCCACAGTTGTCCCAGGAAAATTTCTTAAACTGATCACAAAGCAGCACATTACAATACAAAGACCACTAAAGTAATATCAAAAACGGTCTGATTTCAATCTCAGGTTCTTACCTTCTTAAATGCAAAGCTTTTCCTGCTAGGCCATTGGCTCGAGACTTCCAGCAAAAAACAGTTGGAAACGAATAACGCGATAAACACGGAAATGCAGCTCCTCATTTTGAACGGTTTAGTCTCACCTTTAATTTTTGGTTAATTATCTAAGAGGTATTTAGGCTACTACAAGTTAAAGATATGATACTCTAAAACACTGCACATTCACGTGCTTATCACTGACACAGATGTGTCATGTGAGTGTGTCATGCGATTGTTATGTTACTGAAATATGTTTTTCCGTGAAACTTTATGCATTTATAAAAAACAATTATACAGCGACATCTACAGGTTGATTCACACCATGACAACCCTTTAAGGAAGAAACCACAACATTAAGAAACCTCAACAATAAAGATGATAACTGCAACCATGACAGTTAAAACCTATACACCTTTGCTTTCACTCTAACACACTGACTCTTTATCAAACATGTTCAGCTGAAAACATGGCGCTGCTGGGCTGTTTATGAAAAATTATAAATGTGCAGACAACAAAAAAACAAAGTTTAAAGTATTTAAAAAAAGTTAAAAATCAAAAATGATGTAAAGTATTTCAGACTTGATGAGAAAATGTAAAACAACTACTAAAAACTTGTTTGAATGTTTATTTAAAAAAAAAGAAAAAAAGAAGAAGAGATATTTCCCTTTTAAACAAAACTGGTTCAGCTTTGATTTGACACTGAACTTCATTTGTACTAAAAGAACAACAGCATAAATCACGATAGGAAAACAATCAGTTGTTAAAACATCACGATAGGAAAACAATCAGTTGTTAAAACATTCATGTTAATTACAATAATAAAATAAAACCTGTGCAGTTTATGATCTAAAGATTTTTAGTACCCATGAAGATTCTCAGCTGTCAAACTTTGTCCAGTGGTTTGTGAAGCAATCTGATCTAGGGACATTTACAGTTTCTACCAAGTGTTTAGATTTTTTTAGGATAAAAAAAAAAAGAAAAAAAAAGAGAGAGAATGGATTTTTCATTGTATGATGGTTGTGTCCACACACTGCAAAGACTCATTTATATGCAAACACCATATAAAAGTGAATTTTGCATCTGATGAAAAACAATTGAATGAGATTTCTAATTAGTTCAAAACAAATGTGCTCACGTTCTAAAAAGTTATGAAAGTGAAACTTAGGTAAAAGTAGATGAATCACATACTACCTTTAATCAGGAAATGTTTTCTCTTCTTACCCCTAACCAGTGTCATAGGACAGTAAATAATCTCTGCTTAATAGTGTTGTTACATCAAGGAATGCAAAGAGAAGCTGATTTTGAGGCATCCCAGTTCCTTCTCAGAGCTTCCTAAAACACCCTGTACTTTGTAATTGCCATTAGTCAGCCAGCCAGGCAGTTCAACTTCTGGTATGTAGATATCTGACGTCGGCAAAGAATAATCACCCTGGAAAAAAAGATATGAACAATGTTATGCCTCTAAAAAAATGCATGATGAACTTTTGTGTTCTTGCACATTCAATAAAATCTTGTGAATCAGGAGACTCTCACAGCTTTGAACGGGCAGTGGCAGGGCAGGCCATATGTATGGAGAGGCTCGGGACAGTCCTGTCCTGGGGGGATGAGCTGATTGAGCAGGTCACAGATATCAGGATAATGACAACTTCCTATTTCATCCAGACATGGTATTTTCACCCACACACCAGCTACTTCTTTGTCCAATGTCACATTCACCTGAAACAGATAACAGAGTAAACATGGAGTTATTAATGGGATAGTTCACTCTAAAATGAAAATTCTGTCATTAATTACTCCCCCTCATGTTGCAAGACTTTCGTTCATCTTCGGAAAACAAATGAAGATTTTTTTTTTTTTATGAAAACTGAGTGTTTTCTTACCCTCCATTGACAGTCTGTAGACACAACTACCACTTTAAAGCCCCAGAAAGGCCGTAAAGACATCATAAAAGTAATCCATGTGACTCCACTGGGTTAACCTCAATTTTATGAAGTCATGCGAGTGCTTTGTTTGGGAAAAAAAAAAAACATAAGTTACTACTTTATTAACTAAATATTAACCTCTTTGCAGGTTCACGCAACAATGTTTGCTCTCGCATCAACACGCATACATCACGTTGCTCTCGTGAACGTGTCGGAGATAAATATTTTGTAAATAAAAGTGGTAAATTATGTTTTTTTTGGCACAAACAAAGCACTCGCGTCACTTCATAAAATCAGGGTTAAACCTTACTACCTTTCTGAAAGTGATAGTTGCGTAGGCTGTCAATGGTGGGACAGAAAGCTCTCAGATTTCATCAAAATTATCTTTATTTGTGTTCCGAAGATGAACAAATGTCTTATGGGTTTGGGATGACATGAAGGGGAGTAATCAATGACAGAATTTTCATTTTTGGGTGAACTAGCCCTTTAAAACGATGCCTTATGAAGGCACAAACTATCATGGAGGTTTACAGCCTCTTGTGATAGTCACAAGACACCCAACAGAGGTTCCAGGCATAAAAATGTATTTCACTAGCCAGGGGCGGACTTAATCATTAGGCAAAGGTCGGCAATTGCCTTGGGCCCCGAGCTACCTAGGGGCCCCCAAAATGCCCCATTAAATTATACTTAAGTTTTTTTTTTTTTTTTTTTTACTTTTCGCAAATTATATATTTCTAAAAAACATTTGCGAAAAAAGGCATCAAATCATTAGTGTCGCAGACAGGAGAGGGGCCCCCACCTCACTACATTGGACATTTGGACTAAGTTATTCCATTATCTCACTTTCTGCGTGCGAAGCGAAAGTGACATGGCTGTAATGCGCCAAAAAACTGACGGAGAAAAATAAGTGATTGGACAGACAGTGTAGGCTACAGAGTGACAGACAGAGAAGCTACCCAAGCGGTGCTGAAAAGCAGGAAGCGGGAGGAAAGCAAAACGTTTTTAGCAAAAATTGCAGAAACTTTTTTATGATGCCCGCTGACAATGACAACAATGCTAACGAATAACGATATGTTACAAGTCCATGGCCGTAGCCAGCTATGAGGTGACCGAGGTCCGGAACTCTGTCATTTTTTACATTCAAAAATAAAATGTCAAGGCAAGCTCTCTGAATGATTAATTAGCCATTTAAACCACCTCATATGAGTGTTTGCAATTCATGTTGCTGCGACAAGCTAGCGCAGTGAACGGGGCTTGAGAGCGCGCTGTGAGTGAGGGCGCGCGCGGGTGCCAGATCCAGTGTTGCCAGATCCACCTAATGGAAAGGTGGCAGTAGCCTAGTCTTCTGGACCTGTTTTTCTGATTTAATGTGACACTTTAGGAAGTTTGTTAATCTTATTTCCAAAAGACAATAATCCGAATTATTTCGGATTATTACTTTTTTTTCCTTTTTTTTCGTAGCAATATCTGGCAACATTTTACTGTCGGCATTAATAAAAAAAAGGCTTATAGACAAACTGTAATTGCATAAAGCTACCACATTCAGTAAGACAAACGCAATGATCATCGTGATTATCTGTAAGAAATGTTTAACACTATCAGAAACTATAGCATAATACAGATCTGTATGAATGAAATTTGCCAAATAACTTACTGGCCAGCAGTAAGACGGCTAATGCTGTTTAGTTAACCTTTCACAAAGTCATCATAAAAACATTAATTAAAGCAGTGTTTCTCAACTAGCAATCTATTCAGTCAGCATATTTGTGTTTGATCTGTGTGAATTACAGAAATATAAGACTTGCTAGACCTACTTTTTTTTCTATATTTCTTTGCACAAAACTCTCTAGAAAGTGCCATTTAATGGTTTATTTTTTTTTTTAATTCTGAAAAAATATTTTTTTTTCGTTCTCTTTTTAAGGGGGGCCCATACTACCTTTGCCTTGGGCCCCCAATTTGCTAAATCCGCCACTGTCACTAGCAGTCCTTTAAGGCATAAACTAGGTCACAAGAATTGCCAGGAAACTCTGAACTGATTTCAGAGGTTTATGGTGCAAGGTAAATATATATAACCTTCTACACCTCGTTTTTGTATTTTTTTAACGACTTTGTAGTATTTGGAGCATAACAAACATGACAATCTCAACAACATCTTTTAAGAAATCAGGAATTATGAAAATGAAGCAAAGATGTACATTTTTAGCCTTCATGTAACTTCTTCAGCAAGTCATCTGTAACACAGGTATTATAAAAAATGCAGGAACAAAGATATTTATAGTTTTTTCCTATGCACACTACTAGCTTACAAACAAATTAGTTTATGATCATTAAATAGCCCTTTAATCAAAACATGCAATTCATATTTACTTAAAGCTGCAGTCCGTATCTTTTCCTCTTTGTCGCCATCTCTTTGTTCGAAATCTGTAACTGCAGTGATTCGCGGAATTATTATCTTTACGTGGGTTGTAAATCGGCATGAAACAGCGCGGATGAACACAGTGCTTTGAGGCGAGTGGTGCTGTCAGTCACCGCGCTGTGTGGATACTGTCATACAGAATCACAGATTCACTTTTTGAAAGTTTGACCAACATAAGAATTTTCATAAGAAAATGTCTTCTGAACAAGTAAGTAAAATCCATTTTTTTTCTGACCAACTAAGGGGGAAAAAGCATTCGACATGATAAGCTTCGTTAGATTTAATCAACGCGATTTACAGCAACCGTGCAAACTATAGCCTACTTTGTTCTCAAATTGTTCATGTTAACAACATCAGCATTGCGTGACTAATGTTAAATTTAATGTGTTTTATGGTTAGCAGCTACCTGCGTAGTTCAGAATTCATATTCTCCATAATAGCAAAACGAGAAAGGCACAACAAAGGAAACTCCATAACTGTGTGAATTAAGAAAACGTTCTGTTACACGATTGAACTATTGAAATGTCTTACTTGTTCAGCAGAAAAAAGCCGTCTCTTCTTCCGTTTTGAACCCCTTCAAAACACGGAGTTCACGCACTTTTCAAAAGTCCCGCCGATGTTTAAATCCTTGTGTTCGCATGAGACGGTTTCTTTCTTTTTCTCTAGCCACCTTAAATCCAAAGTACGAAGTCTTTTGGGTTTTATAACTGCTGAATCTCCAGTTGACACTGATGATTGTTGTTTGGATCTTTCTGGATGCCATAAGTTTAATTATGTAAAGTGCTGCGAGAAAAGCCTATACATCTAAACATCTCGTCACGCGCAGTATAGCCGGCTAGCCGAAACTCCTTCTTTATGTGTATGGGTGTTACGTCATGACGCAAAGACATGCTCGAATTTCCCGCGGAAACCCACCAGTACCACTGGAATTAAAATCATTATTACAAGCTAACCGTTTTGAATCTAGCTATGGCAAGCAGATAGTTTTGACCACTGGCAGAATAAGTTTTTTTTAATATAATTATTTTGGATTATTTTTAACTTAAAAAAGTTACGGACTGGAGCTTTAAATTTGTTATAAATAATATTACAAAGTGATTTTATCAAATGTATTGATTCCTGATTTGTCGCAGTAGGCTGTGTGTGTAAAAAAAAAGAAAAAAGTGAGTGTTTTTTCAACCTTAAAAAAAGTCTAATTTTTATATTAACAAGAATTTGGGTCAACTTGTTGTATAAACAATACATGAAATAATAGGCAGTGTAATACGTGTCATAGGGACATTTGGTAACGCTTTATTTTACGACCCGCAAACAACAGCGTAAGTAAACCGAAAATACAGTGTACGTTTCTGTAATTATAGGGTACTTCCGTGTAGGTATAGGGCAACAATATGTTAAGTTTGGGGTATTAAAGGGGTAACAAGCAGATAGTATATAACCTGCAAATAACTTTGTAAGTAAACTGAAATTACGGTGTACGTTTCTGTAAATATAGTGTACCTCCGTGTAGGTATAAGGTAATAAAGGGGTAACAAGCTATGCAAGCAAATTATTTATAATGTAATTATTTTAACAGGTACCTATTATGTTAATATATTCCAGGCAAAAATTGTACGTCTTTTGTGTATAAAAGTTATCAAATTTCTGGCAAAATATGTTCTTGATTTAACATTATTTAATCTAGTAAGAAAAGCCAATAAATTCATTTTTTATCATACTGTGCTTACATACAGCCATACACGTTTCATTTTCAACCCACAGATGTCAAAAGTACCCTGTAAAATTGCACAAGAACATATTTTGCCAGAAATGTGATGATAACTTTTATATACAACAGACGTACAATTTTTGCCTGGAATATATTAACATAATAGGTACCTGTTAGTTTTAAAATAATTACATTATAAATAATTTGCTTGTATATATGCTTGTTACCCCTTTATTAGCCAACCCAAAACTTAACATATTGTTCCCTTATACCTACACGGAGGTACACTATAATTACAGAAACGTACACTGTAATTTCGGTGTACTTACGCAGTTGTTTGCGGGTCGTAAAATAAAGTGTTACCGGACATTTTCTTAAATACATGTTATGTTAAAAATATATAATAATGTCAATCACAAAACAAAAAAGAGTTCCTCTTTCCACCAAAAAATATGTATTTTTTTTGTACCGTACGGAATCATGATGTTACCTTTTTTAACCAAGAAGAGGAAGTTGTTCTGGCATTTCTGAAAATCCTACAGAAAGTCTCTACATAAGCTTTTAGAGATATTCACTGCAATGCAATTCTGGGTCTCAAGATAAATATCTACCGTAAATGGATTTGTCTTTCTATAATCATATTATAAGGACATATGATTATAGAAAGACTAATCCATTTTTATATTTATCTTGAGACCCAGAATTGCATGTTTGCAGTGATCTTGCTTACCGAGAGAGGAGACACCAGCTCTACTGATGTTGTGCCTGATGCATCTGCTGTTAACTGTCCTGGAATGAGAATGGGATCTGGAGATATATGGAGAGTCTTCAATTGTGCAGGATCTTGTTTACCGCAGTTTTGCCAAGAAAACCCCCACACCTGTTCAATAATAAAAATGAGCAAATGCAAGAAAACGTAGTGTGATCCTGATTAGACTATTTCACAATCTTACCGTGGCTAATTTAGAGATTTTCCTGCTGTGCAAGTGGCTCGAGCCTTCCAGCAAAAAACCGTTTGCAGCGAAAAGAACGATAAACACGGACACCGAGCTTTTCATTTTGCACGGTATAAAGTCAAAAACACGAAGTTTAACTTTGGATTTTGTTTAACAAGAGAGCTTTACAAAACCACAAGCGACCATGCCCGGAAACAGGTAACACGACGTAACTTAAAGGCACCTGACAGAACAACAACAATATAGTGCGTTGAAGACCAATAAAAGTTTCACTTCAGGAACTACCGGTATGTGTGTCATGTGAGTGCGAGTGTGTTGTGGTATTTAAATGTTTTGCCATGATGATTCTTTCCGCATTTCATCCTGCGAAATAGAGTGTTACTGCGACCTCTAAAGGCAGGAGGAATAACAGCAGTCCGTTAGCAAACATAGCCCGACAACAACTTATTGTAACTTTCAAAGGACATTTTTACACAATTGCTTTTTGGTACTTACAGCTTTTGACGTATAAAAATTGCCATGCAAACATTTTTGTCAGCATTGACAGCTAGGCCTATGAAAACATTAGGGTAACTGACAATAAATATTCATCCTGAAAAAGCACCTTTCCCATATCACCCGCTATGAGTTCAACAAGGCCATTATGGTGAGTTTATAATTAATACAATTATTTTGTGTTAGGCATGCACAATGCATAATTTTAAAGGGATAGTTTACCCAAAAATGAAATTTCTGTCATTAATTGTGTCGTTAAACCCATAAGACTTTCGTTCATCTTTGGAACATGAAGATCTTTTTAATGAAATCTGAACTCTTTCTGTCCCTCCATTGACAACTACACAACCTATACAAACCACTTGACACTTAAACAAAAGAGTTCATAAAAATATAAATAAAACTAATCCATACGAATTGAGCGGTTTAACGTTAGTCCAAATTTTCTAAAGGGCCACTATCACTTTATATGATGAACAGATTGAATTTAGGCTTTTATTCATATAAACATCCGACTCAAGCATTGTGGTAAACGGAAGCTCATGTGCGAGAATCAATGAGGTTCATTTTAGCTATAGCTAAAAATCATCATAAAGAATCAGCTGTCAAATGCTTTAAGGTTCCGTTTAGTTTCATTGTGTTTTTAATTTGATATTTCCCTGTGCCCACTAGTTTGTTCCCATAGTTTCTAATTATATGTTCTCATTTCTGTTAATTATGAATGTTATAGTTCTCTCCATTTTTTTAAATGTTTTTTTTTTTTGCGGTAGGCTAATGTGACGTAACGAAACGTTTGATCTTCATGTTCCTGTAGCTATACTCTCCTGAGTATTTTTGGATGCAAATGAAAGACTTGTTAATCGACTTGTTAACTACGACTTGTTAAAACTTGTAGTTAATCTCCTTCGTTTTACTGACCAAGCAGTAGCCTACGTGACAATAGCTAGAATTATTAATGCATTTGACATTTTTGTAAAATATAAACAAGTTTTTATGACAACCATTTAAATGATCTCAAAAATGATTAAAAACGTATTACAATAATTCAAAGCAGAAACTTTATAATTGAGTGCAACATTTTTAAAATGTAGGCCTATGTCTGGGTTGTCATAATCACAACATTTTTTAATGAAACTGTTGTGTTCACAATGCAGCTTAATTATCCTATACTTTTAGTGTATTAGCTTATTTTACAATAATCTATTTATTACATTGAAAGATAATTATTATATTGTGAACATTGTTTTACTTATACATTATGTTCTGCCATTACCACATGAACTGATAACATTATAAGTTACAGTGTGTTCATAATGTAGGCTATATTTCTCAATAACCTATTACATTATGTGAAAAATCGTTATTGCATTGGAAAATCGTTATTGCAATATGAGCTCAAGATTTTATTACATTTTGACAAAAAATATTACATTATAAACATTTTATTACATTAATGATGTAATACCTATTACATTATGCTTTGTTATTACATTATGAGTTGCTACATGCCTTCTTTTGTTGTTGTCATTACTGTCTGTGGCCACAAGATGGCGATCTTGTATTTGTAGCTACTTCACAGTCATGATGGTCCACTTCAGGCATTCTACTAACTTTGCAACTAAATACCAACTAACTCTTTTTAGAGTATTAGTAGAATGTTAGTTAGGGTTCGGGTTAGTAGAATAAGTTGACATGTACTTGCAAAGTTTCTTATAGTTAGTAGAATGTCTAAAGTGGACCATCAAAATAAAGTGTTAAGAGATATTAAGCAGACAGTCTAACACTCTGGTAGTTGACATAGTTGAAAAGTTATAGTTAGTTTGTAGAATGTTTAAAGTGGACCATCAAAATTAAGTGGACCATTTCTCAAACCACAGTGGCATACAATCAGTCTGATATATAGCCAGCATTGCAGCAAAGCACACTTTTTAAAGCTGAATAGTTTTATGGGAGAAATTCCTGTGCAAAAGTGTATCCTACAATCATTTTATGAGCAATATGAGGCTATATAATTTTCTATGTCAGTATGTGTTTACTTCTGCGGGTGAATCATGAAAGAGTGCACTAATCAGGCTCTCAGGTTTTATGTGATAGAACACTTGTATTCACCGGCCATATGATGAGTGCATGAGTCACTCTTAATCTCCCTGCATGTGCCTGCAGGTAAATGCCAGCCCATATGTGCCAAATAATCACACAATGTTTAGATCTAAAGGTACCGTGTGCTATTCAAACACAGCATTGTTCATACAGTCCTAAATTGGAGAAAATCACAGCTTATCAAATGACATACTCGCCCAGGGATTTGTCAGTGTGCTTAGAGGTCATATACTGTGCTTAAACATGAGCTATATACATTATATACAACCAAATATGGCAATTCACTTTTCAATGCACACAGCTCCTGTTGAAGGACATGATCTCTGAACACACTAACAAATTGGTGCATGGTATGTCATTTGATAAGCAGTAAAATAATTCTAATTACTTAATTAAATAAATATTATATTTATAATCATAATTAAGTTATATTATTATTATACACTAGTCAACAGTTTGGAATAATTCATTTTTTAAAATGTTTTTGAAAGAAGTCTCTTATGCTCACCAAGGCATTTATTGGATCTACTGTGAAATATTATAACAAATTAAAATAACTTTTTAATGATATATATTTCTGTGGTTGCAAAGCTGAATTTACAGCAACCATTACTCCAGTCGTTAGTGTCACATGATCCTTAAAAAATCATATTGTGTGACAGAAGTATTGTAGCTAGAATTCTTTTCATATTTGTTATATCTCTTTATTCTCATTTGTAATTTATTCTTTTAACAACACTTCCTATTTAAAACAGATTAAAGGTTTCTCAATAGCAAAAGTGTCCCCTTAAAGGGTATAGTTCACCCCAAAATTAAACATTTTGTCCTCATTTATTCACCTTCAAGTTGTTACAAAATCAGTTTCTATCTTCTGGTGAACACAAAAGAAGATATTTTGAAGAATGTTGGTAACCAGATAGTTGACAGCAGCCATTGACTTAGTAGGAAAAAAATACTATGGAAGTCAATGTCAACTATCTGGTTACCAACATTCTTCAAAATATCTTATTTTGTGTTCAACAGAAGAGAGAAACTCATACAGATTTGGAACAACTTGAGGGTGAGTAAATGAAAACAGAATGTACATTTTTGGAGAACTATCCCAATAGTAACAAGTAGAGCACTTATCAACACATACCCTTTTTGATTTTCATATTTAGAGATCAGAAGCTTTGAGAGATAAGCCTCTGGCGCTATGATGATTGAAAGTGCTGTTGGTTATTGTAATATTTTGCCAGGGAATGCTGTGCTTACACATTGTGAGATGAGGGTGCATCCGTGTTTTTACAAACAAGCTGAATGTCTAGAACAAAAGTGTATCTTGAATTGCGTGTGTGAGCATGCACATTCTTTATTCCTGAATTGATTTTTCTCATCTTATATTGAGAAATATATGTGCATCAGCTAAATCATTTGAAAAACTGGTTGATCCCTTAAATACATTAATGTTTCACCAATCAATATTACATATTCGTGTCCTTAGCGACCTAGATTTATAATTAACACGGATGGATCTCCAATATAAATCTCTCCTGATATTAGAGTAACAATTAGAAGAATAAAATAAAGCATATTTTGTTACCTTTTGGAGCTTGTAAGGGTTCAGTTTGAGCAGATGTATTATATCATCATCACTTTCCTCATCAGAACTCATTTCCCAGTACAATCAGCATCTGGCTCATATTCGGCATCTCAAACATATTCTCAATACTATATATTCAACATCTTCAAAATCAATATTTTAATCACTGACAGCTTCTTCTCCAGATCCACCATCAATTGACAGTAATATTTGATTGCTGGTGGAATAAAGGTGAATTGTGCTTATTCAGTCATCAAAGATTAAATTATTGTTGTGCAGAAAAAATATATACTTGCACTGTTACACACCTCGGGTCGTTAGAGACCCTAAACAAGTTTTACAAAACTGAATGGGAGAACAGACGTTTTTTTAATAATTTAATAATTAGTTTTTCTTGTTAAATTGTTTATAACAATTTGATTGAGGAATACTAAGAAAGTTGATGTCTAGCTTTAAAAATGAATGAGGAGGAGGGTAGTGAATGATGTCACGGGTCACTAAATACCTGAGGTATGCGTTTAAGGGTTAAACATTTAGCATCTGATTATAGAAACTAATAGACATATTTGCCAAACTCCATTTACTAAATTTGGAGAATAATCAAAAACAAAGAAATTATATTTTCAATTGCTCGATTTTTTGTTCATATTTCAGTATGTTTAACAAAGGGGGGAACCCAAGATTCGCTCCATTAAATCAATCTGTTATGTACACACTGTGGTCTCTTGCACCACGGCCCATCATTCAGCTGTAGATTGTCTAATACACTCAAACGTGACAAATAGCCAGCATCTCTCTCTCTATGGCAGGCAAACAATTTGCACATCTCCCAGGACGATAATGTTACCCCATATCTTGCACAGATGCACCCTGAGGTACAGGAATGAATGAAGGTTTGCATTCTGCAGGTGAACTCATGCATGACAATACTTCAAAAACATAATACAGCAGGTTCTCTGACAAGAAATATGTCACTCACCAGTGTTTCTTTTAAATTTCATAGCCGTTAGGATATGCAGGCGCCTTTAATGGGTCGGTTTCAGGGTTACGGTACACCAAGGAGACGAGACTTGCTTAAAT